TATATATATATATATATATATATATATATATATATTATGATAAAGTAATAATTCAACTGTATTTATTAGAATGTTGTTATATTTCAGCTCTGTTCAAACATTAGGATTATGCCACAATCTTACTTGCAGTATAAAACTACCCTTCTGAATGAATACAGAAAACTTGGAAGTTTGCGACTGGCAAATGCAAGAAGTGTGGTCAAAATTGATGTTAATAAAACACGTAAAATATATGATCTTCTTCTTGAGGAAGGTTTAGTTTCAAAAGGATAATAGTAGCACAATTCTTTTATAAATTTCATTTGTCTTTCATTTTTTTACATGCTATCATTTTTCATACAAAGTGTCAATTGAGTAATGTATTTTGTCTAAAATAAAAAATAAATTATTTATTTCTAAAGTGGTATAGTGGAATTTGTTTTTAACAGTAGTGAGACCCATAATGAACAAAAAAAAAAAAAATATGCTGTTTATATCGTTTTCCGAGTAATTAATTGCAGAGCTGCCAACTTGCAGGGTCATGGGTAAAAATTTTACTTTCGACTGTGAATTAAATACTACTACTGAAAGTAAAATTATACAGTCATTTTTTTTTCATGCTCCTTATGCACCTAAATTCAGAATATAATATAATATTGAAACATTTTAAAATTGTTAAACTATTAATAGGGATAATTTTCAAAGCTTGAGCTATTTCATCACTAATAAATATAACTACCTAACAAACTGATCTTGTATATGTATATCTGAATTATTAAACTGTTATGGCAGATGAAATTTTAAACTCAAAGATTCAAACATAAATATTAATACCATGAATAAATATTTTTCTTGATGAATATACAAGCTGCCAGCTATGTACATGATATTAGACTATAAAGAATAGAAAATATTAGTTCTGCTTAACTTTCAAACGAGGATCTTATTCACAACATACAAGCTCTGAAGCTTTGTATTTTATGGTAAGCTTTTTATAGTAAGGTTTAAGTGATATTTTTGATGGAAAAAAAAGGGAGATTTCTCAGATCTTATTTTATTTTACAATATTCATTAATTTTTCCAAATCACTACATTTTGGAGATATCATGACCGAAGGCACTGTGGGTTTTAAGTGTTTTTATGATGGATAAAGGTTCATTGGCAACAGGCTATCAGTAAGTTACCTTTAAAAAGCTGTCTTTTGGCAACAAACTAAAATGCCTGTTTTCAAAATTCTCGAATTGTTTCATAACCTGTGCAAGCTCTAGCATTTGATTGTTTTTACTATATTGTTTGCATTCACCAATTACAATTATTTTTTTAGATTCTATAGAAATGGTTACATGGAAAATACATATCATGAATCAAAAAGGCCTTTAAAAAAAAGAATTAGACGAAAATCTCAAATAAAACATTATTTATTTGTGTCATCAGCTTGAATTATGTTTTGTTGTGAAAAACTTGCTCATCTATAACAAATTTTAGGTTACAAAATTACTTAAATTTATCAAAATACCTGTAGTTCTTAGAGTCATAGAAATTCTTAACATCTCTCAACACTATTTTCAAAAAAATGAATCGTAATATTGAGTAAACACTTAATAAATAAAAAATAATTACGTATGTAAAAAATATTAAATACAAAATTTATTGATATATTTTTTAGTTAATTATTATTTTAACTGTTTTGAAAACTATATCTTATTGATATTTAAACTAAGAAAACCCCAAGAAAAATGTGCGACGAAAGCAGTTAATTGAGTTTGAAAGCTGTACAAAATTTCTGTTTTTTGCTTCTTTAAGGTAAATTCACACAAAATATGCACCACGTATATGTTATTTTCATTAGTATGTATTCGCATTAATATGTGTAATATTTATATTCGCATTAATGTTAATGGTACCTATTAAATTTTGATGGTCAAATTTACTAGAAATTATTACACTAGAAACTTTACTAAATATAATACTTTACTAAAAATACTACTTTACTAGAAACAACTACTTTACTAGAAATAATTATTACAAAATAGCTTTTTCAAAGATTTTTAAACGAAGTTTTTGACATTTTAATTTAAAGAATTAAAGTTTGAAAACTAAAACTTTGTGTTTAAAGATTTTATTAACTAATAATTAATAGTATTAGTATTTGTTAACAAAAATTTTAGTATTTAGGTTACAAGACCTTAAAATATTTTAATCTCCTTTAATCTAAACATTTAAATTGAATATTTAAATGCCTTGAAATTGAAATGCCCTTTAGACAGAAGTATATTTAGTATTAAAATTACCTATTCGCGATCGCAACGCTCGAGTACGCCGTCTAGCGGGAGCCTGTAAATATCAGACATTAATTTATCACGTTTTCATTTAGTTCCATCAAAATCATTGACTGAATAAGACGCCATTTTTTAGCAGCAAATAAGAAACAAAATTTCCCTAAGGAAAAGGCCGAAGAACTTGAAAAAAATCTCCAGAATATTAGTAAATCTTTCAGGAACAGAACACGCCAAACATTTGAAGAAAAATTCCTCAATAATTTTTAATTTCTATTATCAACAAACTTGCAACTGATGACTTCCGATTTCGGATACTGTTACAGATGTGTGTATTAAGGTAAAATGCATTTCTTCTGTCTTCAATTCATTACGAATTAAAGTGAAGTCAACATTGCTTTCGTCATTCCAGTGAATAAATATGAATTCAGAACATACAGAATTGTAATAGTTATAGCATATTCTTCTTCGTTATAGAATAGTATATATTTCTGTATCCATATAATTCGGAAAACAACAATAAAAAATTATCCAAGTTACTTGAAATAGTGCCATTTGTGCTGATTCTTAATTAATTTAAATCGTTTTCTTGGTAAGTTTTTTTTAATTTTGAAAGAATAAGTTCAACTAGAATTCAGCTATTCTGTTTTTAGCTACATATTCAAATTCATATCAATTATAAAATTTTGCTGTGTAGTATGTTATCTAAAAGTAATGAAGGTATAAACTATGTATCTATTATTTGAGAATAAAGTTTTCAAACAAGGAACTTATCATTTTGGAATTCTCCGGGAATCATAAATCAGGTAAGTGCAATGATTTTTACAATAAAAAATTTGCTTGTAAATATTTTTTTTTCATTTGATGATGGTTCTCTACAGAATGGTTTTTTACGTCTGATTAAGAACTATAAGAATAATAAAAAAAGAAACAATATGAAAGTTTTTATTTCAATGTTAAGAATTCTTAAAATCGTTTTTTTTATCCTAAGAATTCTTTATTTTCCGTTTTTTAGTTTATAATTTTTTGATAAAAATTGTTCTCAAAATACTTTTTTTGAAAAATTAAATGGTATAACATTATGTGTTTATGTATACTTCTTGTATATTCCAATGTTTGAAGTAATATGATTCAGAAAAGTATGGAATAAAAATTCGGTACTTACGTATTAACGCCACCGCCGCTACAGATTTGGCGGTTTTTAAGTGCCGCCAATCTACACTTAAAATTTTTGCGACAATTCATAAAATAAAACACTTTATTTAAAATCAAAATAGTCAATCGGATTTCGGTGGAAAATGAGCCGATATAGAGTTTAGCATAGATTCAAAACAATCATATCGCCATATGAACTCTGATAAATAAGATTCCAAATGAAATAACATTTCCAAAACGTACGTTTACCAAGATAAAGTTTTATGTTGTGGGAATTGGTACATTTTCGTTTTTTCGGTAAAATATTTCCCTCCTGAAAAAATAAAATTGCATCTTGTTTTGTTTTTGGCAAATCCCAAAGACGAATTTTCGTAGCACTAAAAATGGCGACAAAAAAGAATTGTTTTTTTTTTTTTTTTTTTTTGTTTCGTCAGCATTCTTTATTTTACGTTTCTTAGTTTCTAAATAATGATTTTTATTGAAACTTGAAATTTTTTGATAAAAATTGTTGTCAAAAAACTTTGTTTACAAAATTAAATTTCATAAAATTATGAGGCTTATGTATACTTTTTGTTCATTTTAATTTTTGAAGTAATATGATTCTTAAAACTATAGAATGTAAAGTTTAAATGGGCCTTTCATGTTATATCATTAAATTTAGTAAAACTATTTCTCGGGCATTAGGTTTTAACTCTTATAAGAATATACATATTTTTTTCTGTTAATGTTCAAATATTTTTCCGATGTGTTTTGGATGTTCCTTCTCCACATAAAAAGAGATACCATTTGTGTTTTCGCTTGCATAGGAAAGAATATCAAGCATTTTTCTTTTTTAAATTTAATTAACCACAATAAAGAAGAAACGTTGCAATGCTACGTGCTACATTAACGACGTCTCTAAGAGTAACTGAATGACTGTTCATATAGAAATCGCAGGTATTAGTCTCATACAACAACGCCCCCTATAGTTCGTTGCGATCGCGAATTACGGTTATACATAGTTATACTTTAATTTTTTATTACTTATGCTAACCTGCATATTTTTTTTTACCACGCGTGTTACTTCATCACTTAAATTATGAATATGAGTTTAGCGAGCTAGAAATATATTTCATTTTTCTCGTGATTTCTTCTGTTTCTATTTCTTTCAAAACATTTTGTCAGCTCATGTTGAATCTGTCAGCTCCATAGAGTAATAAATAGAGTAATTTATTTATAACTCTATGGTCAGTCATGTTGAAACAATGAAAAAACAAGTTTTTTCTATTTTGCATGCGAACAACTGAACGTAGAAAATAGAAATTATCTCAAAATGATACAAAAAATATTAGCAATTTATGCTAAAAACTCTGTGCCATTACATACAAAACACCCCATAAAAATTTGCCAACTTCAAAACAAAACGAGATCTAAATCAGTGCTACCGTTCTCGTGTTTTTAGCGAAAATCACTTCAGATAAACTTGCTATTTTAAATGCAGAGAGAATTCACATCCAACTACGTTTTCTTTTTGTTTATGACATCATTGGAGTGCATATTTATTGCCGGCTGAAGACGTTGCACCCCCCCCCCNCCCCCCCCCCCAGCGATACTGAAAACAGCGTCCTTAGCAACCTTTTGAAAAGGAACCTTTTTAAAAAAAAAATTTAAAAAAATCCCCTTTCGCCGACTCTGTGCATGTTTCTTATAAGACCAAATAAGTACCATGAGCAATATATGTTGTACATTTTATTTCATGATTAATGTGTCCCGCAGTGGACTGATCGTTAAGACACGGCTCCCAGCAGATCATCACTGGCTGCGGTCAGTGCCATAACCACCTAGAGTAGATCTAGACCTTCTATAAAAAGGTCTAGGCCAGTGCGCGGGTGGATGACCACTTGGATCAGTCTGCGTAGGAACCGAGCGTGTGCGTTATTGGTCCTCGTTAAACTTTTCTACCCTTAAGTGCTCGACTTCACGTGCATGTCGTTGGGCTACCGAAGCATCCCCT